TTTACTTATACCTATTATCTTGTAAGCAATTGACAAAAATAAATAAATAAATAAAAATAAATATGAGGTTGGATAAAAGATACTTTCTGAAGATATGGGAATTTTTTAAAAAACACACATTTAGCACCTGTCATTATCTCTAGTTGGTACTGTTAACCTCATCGCAATCTGGCAGCTTGGAGGGGGAGAGGGAGGGAGGGAGGGGGGAGAGAGAAGGGGGGAGAGAGAGAGCTACAAGTGTATTCAAGATCAGGCAAAGCTTCAAAGGAAAGATAGAGTGAGAGAAAATATATTTGTTCGTTAGAGGCAGCAGGGGAAATCGTTTCTGTAGAAAATTTAAGTGAGCAGAACCTCTTTGATGTTATTCTGACATTTTTCTTTTGGTAGTTATGTTCTGTCTCTGTTTTCTGGGTTTTTTCCCTCCCCCATCCCTTTTATCTGTTCACCTTCACGTTGTATAAAATGGTTTAAATACAAATACAGGTAGCCCTGGACTTACAACCAGTCAAAGTTACAAAGGCTGTTCTCCAGTCACATAATCGCATTTGGATACCTGGCAACCAATACAAATTTACAACCATTTGTAGACTCCCATAATTATGTGACTGCAACTTACAGTTTATTTTTTTTTTTGCTAGAAGCAGTCATTTACTTTCAGCTTCCAGCAAAAAAAAACCATTAGCTAAAATGAGTTCGCTTTATAACCACACATTCACTTAACACTGCTGTGTTCACTTAACACCTACTGCACAAAAGGTTATGAAATCATGCGTGATCATGTGGTTAACAATAAGCATGACTTAAAACTGTAATTTCTGGATCAATTACAGTTGTACATCAAAGATTACCTATAGTGAAAATACAAACGGGAAGCATTTTTCTTTAGTTAATGCTAAGTTTTACAGCTGCAGTTGAAAAAGTTGCTTTCTTCACAAGAAGGAAAGAGATCTTTTCTTTTAAGGACTGGAAGAATTGCTGAAATATTAATTTTAAAAAAAACTGACATGCTCTTAGATCCCTTTGGATTATAGTATGTGTTTGGCTGCTCTATTTAGTAGATGACTTGTAATCCCAAGACTTGGATTCACACAGGACCTGAAAAGTTGGGAAGGATATTGTTGGTTTGGCACTAGAATTGCAGTTTTGTTTATTTATCCCTCATTTATTATTTTTCCAAATACGTTAAGGCAGCGAACATATCCAACACACTTTTCTCTACAAGAACAGCACTGTGAGGTGGCTTCGGGTTGGGAGAGAATGGTTGGCTTAAGGTCAGCCAGCTGGCTTTCATGGAAAAGGCAGGACTTGAATACATGGCTTTCTGCTTTCTGGCCTGGTGCCTTAACCATTAGCTTATGCTGACTCTCTTAATGTTCTCTGATCTCTTTCATGACAGATAGATTCTCTCAACTTCTGATGCTCTCCTTTATGACAGCTGGATGTGCTTCTGAAGCCTTAATGTAAGGTGCATGATCCTCACATCTGCCTCAGTGATTCAAAGTCATAGGACTTGTTAATTCCACAAAAATGATATTTTCTCACTCATCTTCTTAGTATGTTCTGGCCTTTGGAACTTTACCTGTTCCTGTATACACTTGTGGCTCTCTTGCTCATGTTTCCTCCTCCTTCCTTCTCTTCAAATCATTTTAGTCTCAATCTTTTCCTGGGTTTCCAGTTTTTGATTCACTCTGTTTTGGTACCTTTGCATGGAATGAGATGTGTAAGATTGAGTTGCAGTCATGCAGTTCTCGGTTCTTTCAAACAAGTATGTGAAAAAGCTTGTCTGGATTGTTTTTCACCATTGCATAATCTTATCACTGTTCTGCTTACAGGGGAAATAGCCAAATTGGTTAAAGAGCATCCACATGTTTTATCTAGTCATTCTGTCCTGCCCCATATGTATGTTTGATATTCGGATTTAAGGATCCCACTTTAGCTTAGCTTACTCTTTTTGAGCTGCTTGAATGCTATTTTGGTATGGTGAGCCGGTAATAGTGGTGGTATTCTACCGGTTCAATCAGGTTCTGGCATACCAGTAGCGCCGAAGATCAGCTGGCAGAGAACCAGTTTGCTCCAAGTCTCTCCGATGCTCTGCAGTTGGGCCCATCCGCCTGCCCCTAGGTCCTTTTTAACCTCTCAGCTGTTTGGTACGGCAGAGTGGGTTGCTGTGCTAAACAGCTGAGAGGCCCAGTAGCTTAGTTTTTACTGTTTTAACGCTTATGCAAAGTGCGCATTTGGTGCACATGCAAGTCGCATGAATTGCACGAGTTGTGTGACACACACCCCCCCGCAGCCACGCCCACAGAACCTCTGGTGGGAACTTTTAAATCCCACCACTGGCTGGTAATCTCTGCCAAATGGAAGCAGTACTATAAGGAGAAGGATGCTGATATGTTGCCTTTCCCCCTCCCAAAAAAATCCCCCAACAGCCCCTCTCAATCTCTTATTCTCACCAAAACTGTACTCCCAGACCACTAACAGTTGTTTCCTTCTTACTATTTAATCATACTTAACCCGTATAACTATAAATTCTTCTTGGAAATAGGCACAGGGGTGTCCATAAGAGGTGGTCAAAAAAATCAAGCTGGTGGTCACAGTAGTATGACTGAAGCTCTGCTTATTATTATTATTTTTTAATAAAGTTTTATTTGGGTTTTCACACATATTTGGGTTTATTTGGGTTTTCAACATCTTTTTTGAAAATAGCATGGTCCCGGGTTGAACTTCTTTATACAGACACAAAACTCAATTTCATGCTCCTTTTTGTATTCTATTCCATATCTTATACTATTTTACATTTTCTATATAGTTTTTCCCCTCTTTTAATTTTTTCAATTTTATTTTTTTAATCTCATCTTAATTCAAATCATTATATTTATACTTTTGCCTGTTCTGTTTCAATTTCATATTATCTTTTCTCATTAAACAAATTTTCTCTTGTAGTTACTAATTGGAGTATGACACCTTTATATCTTTTAATTACATCCATTCAACTCTTATTTAAACTTCAATATATACCTTAAGTTTATGACCTTCAATATAATACATAATACATAACTTCCAATCGAATTCTGCTTGGTACATTCTTATAATACGCACTATATTCTTTTTTTAAAAAAAGATTATAAATATATGTAATTATAAACCCTCATTCCATTCCAATTCAGTTCTATCATTAAAATCTTAACACCTTTAACACTTCTTTTCAATTAAATATCATACTTCCTTAAAAACACATATAATCTCCATAATTAATTTTTCCCTTATTTCTCTTCACATATGTTTTATAAATCATTAAATATACATTTTGTTACATTTATTTATTGACAAGCATTCCACTGAATTACGATAGCTATTTTATCAGAGATTTTAATCATACATTGTTTCATATATTCTAAAATTATTTCTGTTTCTAATATAACCATACTATCTTATGTACCTTTGCAGAATCCCTTTTTCCATTAAGTTTTCACCCATTATCTCTAAATAGGCCCTGTTTCTCTATATTTTGCTTCTGTCCTTTATGACTTCTTTTCCTTTCTTTCTTCCCTCTCATCTTCTCCCTCCCCTTTTTACCCCCTTGTCTCTCTAGTTCTAATTCTCTCTTCTGCATTTCCTTCTTCTGTTGCTTTCTGATTTTATACTTATTTTTCACTCTATTTTTTTTTGCAGTTGTTTTTCCCAATCTTAAACTTTCAATTCTCTTTCCCCCCTTTCCTTTTTTCCCCCCATCTAAGATTACTTGTTCATTAAAGATGGCTTCTTCTTTGTCGCAATCTTCTTGTTCTGCAGGCATTTCTTGTTGTTTCTCATAATTCCAAATCTCCATTTCTAAAAACTGAAATACGAAGCCAAAAGAACCTCTCCCTTCTTGTGCATCTTCTTTGTACTTTTTAAGTTCCATTTTCAGATCTTCTAAAAGTGGGGCCATTTTAAACAGTTTTAAACAACCACCCGATTGATTTAATCATTCAAAACAATAACCAAGAATCCGGAAATCATCAAGTAATCCAGATAGTCCCGAGTTATATCTTCTTATTTCTTTTTCGACTTTCTCTTCCTGCAGTTTTTGTTGCGATATTTCAGTTAAAATGTATCTTTTGGAAGTCTTGTTGAGATTTTGCTGTAAGTTCTTTTTTAATTCCAGGCAGTCTCCTCCCTTCCAGATCCTGCCCTTTTATTCTTTTTCTTTCCTTTCCTGTTTTCAAAAGCTTTTAATTATCCAGAAATCTTTATTATCCCTTTGACTTTTTACTTTTAGCATTAAATGCCTATTGATGTCAAAGTGGATTTTTTTCCAATTTCTTGCTTAAGTCTCTTAGCTGTCAGTATAGGAAAAGGAGAAAAACAAATCTTTTCCCTTTTCTCTCTCCTTCGCAGCTTAAAAATCTTCTTAGGGAACAATGTTATTGTTTTTTAATAGTTTCAATTCCAGGGTACCTTATTTGTTGCTTTTGCTGTTTGACCCGGTCAACCAAAACTTTCTCTTCTTATCTTCCTCCTGCACATTCTTTTCCGGTCGAGTTCTTCTTTGTGGTGGCCATTTCTGACCACCGCTGCAACCGACTTTGGGAAAGGGAGTAATGGCCAGCTGGGGAGGAGAGATGCGGCTCTCCTCAACCCTACAGGCAGTCTCCCCCCTCTTCACCACCTCTATGGGGTGGCTTAGCCCCCAAACCAGCCAGCTCGGGGCACTCCAGCGGCGAGCACAGATCGAAGCCTCGCAGAGGCGAGGTTTCGGTCTGTCGCTGAAGAACGTCTTCTAAGCTCTGCTTATTTTTTAAGATGTGTTGTCCCATTGTGGCCACCAGCATGAACCTTTTGGCCACAACTTTTGGACAATTACTTATGGCTCCACCACTGGCAAGGAACACTCCTGCATAACAGGAAAGTTTCAAGGGTCAGGGTAAAACCTTCGGTTCTCTCCTTCCCACTTTTGCTTTGTTTCTGTCATGTTACCAAGGTAAAAGGTGCTAATTACCACTCTGTTTTTGTTGCAGAAGTTACTCTGAAGGTTCATGTCAGTGATGCCAGCACACACCAGCCAGTCACGGAAGCCTTTATCGAGATTTTTACCAACCAGGTTCCACTTGCTTCAGGAAACACCGGAGGAGATGGCACTGCCTTTATCAAGTTTCAGTATAAGCTGGACAGTCAGCTAATTGTTACTGCAACTAAACAAGCTTATGTGCCAAACTCTGCGCCATGGAAACCTGTAAGATTGCCTGGTAAGAGATCTTTATTTTTGTTCTGAGGTAAGATTTTACTTCTAAAAAAATGGGGGGAAGAGGCAGAGGGTGGGACAGATATAAAACTTGTTATAATTATGATTTGATGATATTTATAGAATCATGGGTTCATCAGATGTTATAATTGAACACTTTTGGTAACCTGAATATGTCCAGGAGTATCTTCAAACATTAAAGAGTTCCTTTTCCTGATGAGTCCTGAGTAAAGCCATATGTTTTAGAAGATAAAGACTAGAGTAGTAATTTACACAAGGTGGTACCATTTGACTTCTCAATGTATCTTTACCCACCCCCTCGGCTCCGGTCTAATTTGACTGGGGAATTGAAGTCCAAATATTTTAGGTATAATAAGGATGAGAAACTTTGGGTCTACAAGCCTAGAACAAACCTTTTGCAGTAATTCTGCCTATTACTGTACTTAAGAAATTGTGAACTATTGGATGATGTTGTTTTTCCAGCTTCTAATTAAAAATTGGCAGAAAGAATGGGTATGAGTCAAGGACACATTAAAAGACGAAGGGGGGAGAATATTTATTTTTGCAATTAGGTTAATTCCTGTTTAGGACTTTCTTAAGTAAAGGATTTGCTATTAATATTTGAGGATGGGGGTGGGAAATCAATTTAACTATCACTGAAGCCCAAAACTGCACTTTTGGGGAAAATGGCATTTGAAATAAGTGTTTGTTTCAAAGAAACAGTTTCTGAGCATTCTCCAAGTTCATTAGGCATGTTGCCAGCACTTTCAATGGGAAGGAATTATTATTTTGTCCCCTCTGTCTCTGTTAAATGGCCAAACAAGGGAGTTAAAAATAGCAATAAAATGAAAAAAAGTACCTATTGTGCATATTTATACAATGGATTATTCTTAGATCACTAGGAAACAATCTTGCCTATCTTGTTCTTATGATTATTATTAGGATTGTTGTTTCTATTATGGTAATATTTTATTACATATTTTTGAGAATGAAAAATAGAAAATTAAACTAGTTAAAATAAAAAAGGCAAAAAGAAAAGAAAAAATAAAGTACAGTAGTACACAGCAATTTTTCCAGCATCACAGAATTAAATTGGACTAAATTTATATGGTAGATTTTTTACCTAAAGTTAGGTAAATTGCATAGTTAGTTACATTTCATTTGGTCATTAATCAATTTTATTTGTTAATTAGTTTCATTAATTAATTTTATATAAATGAATATATATATACTATTATTTTAAAAACTGTGTCACTAAAATCTAAGTAATATATAATTATCAATAGCAGTAACCAGATTGGATAAATCATAAAATAATAATAATAATAATTTCTGTGTACGTAATGTAAGATCTATCCTTATTTAACACATTATTGAAATTTAGAAAGGCACAACTTTATATTAAAAGAATTCCACATTTAAAACATGGTATAAACTGGTACTAAGAATTATACACCAAAAGTGAATAGGAATAGGAAATGGATAGGTTAGGATTAGGGTTAAGGTTAGGGTTAGGGAAGAATAGGGTTAGGTTTAGAGTAGAATAGAATGCAATAGAATAGAATAGAATAGAATAGAATAGAATAGAATAGAATAGAATAGAATAGAATAGAATAGACAGAGTTGGAAGGGCCCTTGGAGGTCTTCAAGTACAACCCCCTGCTTAGCCAGGAAATCCTATACCATTTCAGACAAATATCCAATCTCTTCTTAAAAATTTACAGTTTTGGATCATTCACAACTTCTGGAGGCAAGTTGTCTCACTGATTAACAGTTCTAACTATCATGAAATTTCTCCTTAGTTCTAGGTTGCTTCTCTCCTTAATTAGTTTCCATCCATTGCTTCTTGTCTTGCCTTCAGGTGCCTTGGAAATAGCTTGACTCCCTCTTTTTGTGGCAGCCCCTGAGATATCGGAACACTGATATCATGTCATCCCTAGTCCTTTTTTTCATTAAACTAGACATAGCCAATTCCAGCCTCCAGTCGCCTAATCATCTTTGTTGCTCTTCTTTGCAATCTTTCTAGACTCAGCATCTTTTTTACATTGTGGTGACCAAAACTGGATGCAGTATTCCAAGTATATGTAACAGGATGCAGTATTTCAAGTGTATTCCAATTTAACATCTGGAGAGCCACATGTTGTTGATTCTATTTGGTTCACAATTAGAAAAGTATATATTTTCCAATCTAAGTTCTTAGCATCGATTTTAATTTTTTTCTTCAATAAGCCATTTTGTGATTATCCAATGCTTAGTACATATGAAAGAAAGAAATTTACCATAATGAAACTGCTGTAATTTAAGAAAAATCAGATTTACACTTAAATTTGTTATTGATTCTTTTCAAAATGTTTATTTTATACAAAAGAATCCAGAGGAAAAAATGAACAAAAGCAAAACAAAACTAGACAAGAACATTTAAAATGTGAATTAAAAGGATAAAAAACAAAACAAAATATATTTGAACAGTAACAAATATTTTGCAGCAATAATAGTTTCCCCCCTTGCAAAGCAGATCCAAAATTTATAAGCTTCTAGATGTATTTACAATCTAGTTGACTTGTCATATATTGGACAGTAATGTGAAAAAAGAAAGTACACCCTCCTTGAGTTCTTTTACAGATCAGAACATAGTAAAAATCATCTGGTCCTTAACAGTTGTTGAAAGTATGTAAATAACAACCTTAGATGAACAACAGCTCATGTCATATTACACTATGTCATTTATTTTAGAAAAAGAAAACCAAAATGGAGAAGCCATGTGTGAAAAACTAAATACGCGCTTACTGCTTCCATAGGTATGAAGAAGCTAATCAAGTATCCTTGAACAATTGATCATCAACAAGTGTGATTACCTCTAGAAAAACAGCAATCTTAGGAGTTTGCTGGCCTTAACATTGAGGTGTGTGTTAATACAATGCCAAATGATAAAGGCATCAGCAGTGATCTTAGAGAAGCAATTGTTGCTGTGCATCAATTTGGGTTATAAGGCTATTTCCAAATAATTTAAAGTCCATAATTCGCATTGAAGAAGATTATTCAGAAATGGAAAACATTAAATACAATTGCCAATCTTCCCAGGAATTCCCTTTAAAAAGAACATGGCAGCAGGGCTTAAGTTTGCAAAGTTGCATCTGATCAAATCACAAGATTTCTGAAATACTGTCCTTTGGATAGTTCAGAAGTTTGGCCACAATGCACAGTGCCGTGTTTGGTGAAAACCAAACACAGTGTGATGACCTGGGGCATGGCACAAAGGCAACCCAGCAAGGTAATAAGTAGAGGTCCCCTTATTAGCTCCAACTTTGCCCCCAATGTGCCGGTTATCTTCTGGTCTGGAGAAAAACTCTCCCAGGAACATGCAACAGCCTTTGGCTGCAGATATTCCAATCCAAAACAGTGTAAACAGAAAACTTTAAATTATAAATCCAACAAAGCAAGATAAAGTAATAAATCCAGTAGGGCAAGACAAGGAGTTCCAGAAGTGAAGTAACACAGCAGTAAATCAAACCAATTGGGAGGATGTCAGGAACTCTGATAACAGCAGCAAACTTTAGATAAACTCAACCTTTGTTTCTGACAAACGCCCCTCCCGACTGGTTCTCCTTTAAACTCCCTCCCCAGATGTGCCCCGTGAAGGGTATCAGGACCCTCTCCTCCCTCGAAGGCACGCAACCCATGTTCTCTTCTCCATTCTTCCCTGCATGCCCTAGGATGAGGAGGTGGATGGGCCTTGGTCTTCCTCTGAACCCCCTCTCCCTTGTTCTACCTCTTCCCTGCTCTGCCCAGCCTGACTTTGCCCTTCCCCAGTTTCCTCCACAGCCAATGGAGCCACTCTCCTGCTCCCTGACAGCTTTTCGTCTTCCTCCTCGGATTCCGATTCTGATGGGTGTATGATACACACCATATCAGCACAAATATCTCAGACCAACCATCAAGCCACAATAGTGGAGGGGTGATGATTGGGACTAGTTTTGTAGCCACAGGACATGGGCATCTTGCAGTCATTGAGTTAAATCATGAACTCCTCTGTATACAAAGTATTCTAGAATCAAATGTGAGGCCATCTGTCCAGCAGCTAAAGCTTGGCCAACATTGGGTCATGCAACATAATAATGATCCCAAGCACACCAGCAAATCTAGAACAGAACAACTGAAAAAGAAAATAATCAAAGTGATGCAATGGCCTAGGCAAAGTTGAGACCTCAACCTGATTGAGATGCTGTGGCAAGTCCTCAAGAGTGTGCATAAACAAATGCCTGTGAAACCTCAATGACTGAAGCAATATTATAAAGAAGAGTGAGCCAAAATTTCCTCACAACAGTGTACTTAATTTTTCACACATGGCTTCTACATTTTGGTTTTCCTTTTGTAAAATGAATACAGTATGACATGGTATAATATGTTACGTGTTATTGTTCATCTGAGGTTGTATTCAACTACTTTTAAGCATTGCTAAGACCAGATGATTTTTATTATATCCCGATATATAAAGCCATAGAACTCAAAGAGGGTGTATTTTCTTTTTCACATGTCGTATATATGAAGAAAAAATAATTAACGGGGTAAACAACAGTAAAGTTAAAATGCAAAGTCTTTTGTTAACAATCTGTTTTTGTAATTTACTCGCAGAAACTCTACAATAGTTTCTTACCAACTATAAATCACCCCAAGCATTATCTCTGATCTGTTCAGGAACAAGTAGCTTTGTTTAGCTCTTAATAATAAAACTTTTCCTTAGGATTTTAATTGGGAACTTTTCCAAAATTGCATTTTATTTCCAAAGTTCATAAATCTCTGTTGTAAAAAGTTCTGCAGCATCTATTGTTGAAAAATACAGTGTTCGTTTTGTCAAGAGAGTCCAATCCATTCTTCATCTATTCCATTATGTCAGAAATTCTTGTATTCATATTCACTTTCATATTTTCTGGCAGATCTATAATTTTCAGACCAATTACTTTCTTCTTACATGTGGCAGCAACAAATCAGATTTCAATTCATCAAGTTGCAAATCAAATCAAACTGTATTTTCTGTATTTGGATATCGTCCTGAGTTTGGCTTAAAGACGTTGTTGTCCCATTAAGTTTTTGATTATATTTTCAAGTATAATATGAAATCAGTTTATATTTTAAAATAAAGAGAGAGAGCATTCTTTTTTTCAAATGCTTCCCAGAAAAGTTTATCTCTATTAGGGCATATTTTTAGAAATGCATTGTTCTTTCCAAGGACAAGAGAAGCAGAGAAATCATAACCCAGTGTTCACAAAGATAAGAAAGATTGAGATAGATTTTTTTCCCAGAATCAAAAATGTTTTTTAAAAGGGGAATTTTTCCATTAAAAGTTAAGAAATAAATATCAGAGCTTGAGAGCTAGAAAGAACAAAATTTGTAATCTAATCCTATATAAGTCCATTCAGGTAACTTTCTCTGCCAGAAAGTACATTTTCATTGCAGACTTCCCTACAATGAAAATGAAAGTGGTTTGAAATTTAATAATAAACAGTAAAGAACAGAAAAAAAGATGTAAAAGCCCAGCAAGGGGTTATAAAATAGGTCAGCAATCAGCTCGTTGTAAAGCTAAAAATATTAAAGCTTTAAAAACTGCAATTAAAATTCATGTGTGCTTAGGAAAAATGAAGAGCTGAAGGGAAAAGGTGGTAAGAGATTCAACCTTCCAATCGTTGCTTATCAAGAACTGTGGTTTTCAAGATCCTCTCTTCTCCAGGTGCATCATCATCTGAAGGTCATCTTGGATTCTTCTTAGTTTCCTCTTCATAAAACATGGAGCAAAGTCACTAAGTTTTGGTGGCATACGCTTGTGATTGTTTGATAGCATTTTAGAAAGTTAAATGTGTGATAGAGTAGGGGTCTCCAACCTTGGCAACTTTAAGACTTCTGGACTTCAACTCCCAGAATTTATGGGAGTTGAAGTTCACAAGTCTTAAGGTTGCCAAGATTGGAGACCCCTGTGATAGAGCATCTTAGGAGAAAAATCTATTTCTATATGTTGCTGAAATTAACCATCTTTGCTTGCTATTTTCAAATGTCACTAAGTTTTCTTCCTACCTTTGCTTAGGTTTCCAATTTTTACAAATATCCTTCATCTGAAAAAAGCTTGACATTGCAGATTCATTTTAAGTAGCATTGATGAGAGCTATGCATCACTGTGGATTAGAAGGCAAAAAAATGATTGACAGCATACATAGATACCCACACAGACTATCTGCAACTCCTTAAAGCAGCTATGTTTTTCTTAAGATAGGCCATCTACTTAAGGAATTTGATATTAATTATATTTAGTTAATGAACTCATCTACCAGAAAGAAGGTTGTAAAAAAGAATTAAAACTATAGCATAATTTTAAAAATAAGCTCAATAAATTTTATATACATCGATCACATCATGCCAGTTCAAACAGCAGAGATGCTGCCCATGTGGTTAGAGAAGTATCTTTTTATCTTAAAATATTTCACACCAGGATTTTGTATGTTTGTCACTAAGATTGTAAGTCCTACAATGATGATTGAGAAAAAAAAGTTCACATATTTTAACTTTTCTGAAATACTCATTAGTCTCTCCATTAATTTCTCCACTGTTGCCATTTTAAGCTTACCGTTTGCCTCTAAATGTCTTTACAATGACTTGTCTAAGCAATAGTGTATTATTTGGTAAATATTATTATCTGATGAAGGTATATATGCATTATCTAGAAAGGATATTTGTGTTAATGAATATTTAATTAGTTTCTTCTCCATTCCACTGGAATACTGCAATTAACTTTTTTTTTTTAAATACAGTATTTTCTTCCCTGAGCCTTGGCCTTCTTCCTGAGCGGTCAGCTACTCTGATGGTGTATGAAGATGTTGTCCAGATAGTCTCAGGATTTCAAGGTACGGTTGCATGTAGAGATGCTTTCTTTACGTTGCCCAGGAAAAAAAGTATGTATTATTTATGATGATGCATCTTATAGTTCCGTTTATGGATTCTAATTTTCTTTTATTATATTATGAAGAACCTGAGCATGTTTACTAATTCACTGGAGAAGTCTCTGCCCCCGTTTTAAAGGGACAAGATCTGTGGTGGGGATTGGCCCTATTTGATCCTGGTTACCATCAAGGGCTTTCTAATTGCAGGTGTGTTGCAACTTCCCCAATGCAAAACACCAGCAGAGGCAGAGAAGCCAGCTGGTTCTCCCTCTTCCTAATCTGTGGAGGATCTTTTTTAAGTGCGTGTGTCAGATACTTATAATTTATAATAATCACATATATAATTTTATTGTATTTTTAAAAATGAAATACAAAAAATATACACAAGGAAATTAAAAGAAAAGCAGTAACATGCATACATCTAACTTAATTACAATATGTCAAATTCTACCTAAATAACTTATCTGTCCTTGCAAAGTGTTATGAAATCTGTGCCCAAGGAAAATGTGTTTTTAATTAATTATTGATAATTGATTGTTCATACTTATTATATGAGAATCAGGTTTAAATAAAGTTACATTTATCCAAGGTAAGATTCGTGACATTAACATTGTTTTGCTAGTATAATATCTGTAACAAAATGGAGAAAAATGATAAACTCTCCTTAGAGTCAATCTCAAATCATGGTGACTGCATGAAAGTGTCCACAAAGTTTTCCTGGCAATGATTCCAGGCAGTGGTGTTCCCTGTGTCACTTTTCAAAAACAAATGTCAGACATGGATAAAGAGAATATTGATGCTGTTGAACTTTGGTGTTGGAGAAGACTCTGAAAACATACATAAGGAAACAAACAAAGGAATTATCAAACAAATCAATATAGAATTCTCCTAAGGAATTCTTAAAGAATAAATTATCAAGGTCAAATTATATTTTGGACACATTATACGAAGACTGAGCTCTCTGGAGAAGGCCCAGCAGCGAAGTGGATGGACTCAATTATGTGGTAATGAGTGCATTATTGTAATATCAATTTGGGAGCAGAGAAAGATTATCTTATGATTGCTAAAAATCAACCTTAATTTGATGGCACATAATCAATGAAATCAACATTTCAAACATACAACATAATTGCAATGATAGTGATAGAGACAGGTAAATGTGTCATTATAAAACCAATGAATTAACATAAACCAATTACATTATGTAAAAGAAAATCGAAGTAAAATGAAAGCACCTTCTTTGCGGAGGTCTTTTCAACTTGCCAGTCTATTCTACAGCTCTGGGATTTCCTCATGGTCTCCCGTGAAAATGTTAACTGGGACTGATTCTGCTTTGAGTATCATCCAAGCTCAGCTAGGTGCTGACACCTTATGTGTTTAGAGGAAAACATTCCTTGCAGCCTTAAGATAGACAACACTATTCACTGAATGTAGAATTATTTTTGTAAATGATAATTAAATTATATCATCCAGAGGAAGGCTTAGGGTTAATATAGATCCAACTTGAAATTGCTGTTACAGTCATATATTTCTCATCTATAGAGATTACCTTTAAATGTCTTATTGTTGATTTCTTAATAGATTAGAACAAGTGGTGTTCTATTTGTACTACCCAGAAAATGATGGAAGAATAGAATTTGGGGTAAAACCTTTGTCCATGTTTTTTATAAAGCAAATTTTTATTGGGCTGGTTATGGATGGACCGATGGTTGGATGGACGGAGACAGACAATTGATCAGTCTTCCAACATATCAAAATATAAACCAAACATCTAATTTCAGAGTAAAATAGATAAAAGAAAATACACTAATATAATACTTTGGGATCAACCTTCAGATGAACACATCACCTTTACAGGATGCCCCAATCTGATTGATGTAATGGGTTCTTAAATCAATTTTCTTAAGTATAAACTTCACATTCTGCTCATGATGTATAGATTAGAACCCAGGAGGAAATGGGACAATCAGTGATTCAGATCATCGTGAGCTTTTCTTTCAAGTAGGTATATGTGAATTGTCTAAGCCTAAGAAGGGCACGTAGTTAATCAAACTATGGTGGAAGTGCCCAGTCGTATTTATCTGTTCTACTAAACATATTTTGAGTAGTCTATCAAGTAAGTAAGATAGCTTTTGTAAGGCCCAACAATTGTGATGCAAATTACAGAAGACCAAGAAAGTAAAGGGAATTATTGCTTTTTATTGTTTTTAAATTGGGGTTTTATTCTTGTAAAATGCCAAGAGGGTGAGTTGAGTGGCTATATAAATTTTCTTAAATAAATAAATAAATTCCATGCCATAAGTCAGAACTGAGACTATTTTTTCCCTGAATACTTTCAGTTTAGGGTACAAGGTACATGAATAATTATAATTAAATACTTTGTATAATCTTTCAGTAGTTTCCTCTGCCTTGCCAAACTCTTAAAGTGATTTATCTATGATCCTATGTTGGTAAAAAAAAACCTCGCTTCTAAATAAGTACAATAATTCACTTGTTCAATAGGCTTCCCATTTATCTGCCTGTTATATTTCATGCTTAGGTAAAGGTTTCCCTTGTCCAGTCATATATGACCCACAGGGTGGCGCTCATCTCTGTTTCTTATCCAAGGAAGCCAGAATCATCCGAAGACACTTCTATGGTCATGTGATAAGCATGATTGTATACTGAGGCGTATGGAATCTATTAATTTCCCACCAAAGTTATGCCTACTTATCAATTTGCATTTGCATGCTTTCGAAATGCTAGGTGGGCAGGAGTTGGGCAAATAACAGGAGCTCATCCTGTTGTGCATAAAAATAGTATATTTCATGAAACCTTTACTAATTACCATCATTTTAGATTTGACTTATTAATGTTTTTAAAAATAAAAGCATAGTAAGTATTTAGCTTTCACGACAGTTTTGTCAGGCCTAATTGTGAGTGTGCCTCTAGAACTGTATTATCAGCATATAAAAGGATATTACTAAATTCATCATGGATCTTTGGCATATCAGTGTCTGAAGCATAGAGGAGTCCTGTAATATCAGTGGCATAGAGGTTAAAAAGTTTTAGAGTTAGAATACAGCCCTTTGTGACATCATTATGGGGACATATATTCTTAGTTACATTATATGTGTTGGCCAATTTCTTCCACAAAATATTTCTGTTTATATAACCAAAAGCTTCACTGAGATCTATCGTGTTTCCCTGAAAATAATCCTGAAAATAATCATAGCTTGATTTTTACATGTGCGCCTAATATGACCCCAACCCCCAAAATAAATCCTAGTTAAGACCCCACCCATTCCATCCCATCGTCTGGTTGTTTGAGGTGGGATGAGGCGCATGCATAAAAATAAATCTAGGGCTGGGGGGTGGAACTGCCTCACACGCCTCATACCCACTTGCCTTAGGACTGCCACAGCCACTCCTCCCATGCTCCAACACTTGTCATGCCGCTGTCGAACTTCTCTGGCCGTTTGTGGCTAAACACCACATGCCACATTGTGCGAGTCCCTTTGCTTGTGGCAGGAGGCCATGTGCGACATTAAACCAATGCCGCCACTTGCAGCAAGAGGCCACATGGCACATTGCGCCAATGCTGCCATTTGCGTGTGCAGTGATGCAATGCACCACACGGTCTCCTGCCACAAGCAGCAGCACCAGCACAATGTGCCATGTGGTGTGTAGCCACAAGCAGCTGCAGAAGAAATTGGGCAGTAGTGCAACAGGTGTCGGGGCATGGAAAGCCTTTGTGCAACGGTCCAAAGGTAAGCAGGTACTGGGTGTGTTGGGAGTCCCACCACCCCTGCCCAAAAATTGACATCTCCCATTCTACACTTTCTTTACATTACCAGTTATATAATTGTAGCTACTAAAAGAACCCAAGTTCAGAAATACTCTAATGGAAATCTGTTGGAGTTCCTACTATTCCTTCCTGATTAAATTCTTTATAAGGATTTTAAAGAATCTGTTATTATTTAAACATATTAATTGAATATCTGCATTAAATTTACTGGAAAATTAAATCTGAAAAATAGGTAAATGTAGGGGGGAAGCATATATTGTTAAGAGGGAGTTGATAGTTGCTTACATCACATTATGTTTCAGATTTGCTTTCTATACTTTGCTGAATTATAATTTTCCTTGTTTGTATCATGGCTAAGGGTACTGGAGTTTTAGTCCAGATATGCTTGGAAGACCCATGGTAGGGAAGGCTGCCATACATTTTAAATAGTCTACCATCATCTATAGAAAAAAAAATTGTGATTGTACAAGTTAATCTGTGAATGTCTCTCAATTGCTTGGAAACTTTAAAACAGTGTTTTCAAACTTGTTAACTTTAAGTTATATGGACATCATCTCCCAGAATTCCTCAATCAGCAACTCATTGCTTTAAACAATATCCATTGAACCTGTTTAAGTTTGTAATGCAGTCCTAGCTTGGCATCACTGCCTGTTCCAAAGAGTCCAATAACAACTATTGGTAGCTGGGAATCCTAGTTTTATTGGGAGGTGGCAAGAAATTATCTAAAGCAATTTCATTTTTTGCATCATGCTGCTTTTGTTTTTTATTGTGCATATGGAAAAATGTCTAGACAAATCTGATGGAAGAGAATGGTTTCAGAGGTCCAAGAGGAATTACGGTATATTATAAAAACAGTACGTACATATTCCTGCCAAAGCCTGGGCTCCTCAGAGTTAAAAAAAACTTCTTTTGAAAAATTGCTACTTTCTATTTAGGACTGGAAACTGGGTTGAGAGGAATTCCTTCCTATTTGCCAAATGCATTAGTTTCTGCTAATAACTGTGCTCACGTTTTGTTTCACAAGGTTGCTATAATGATTTCAACATGCTGTTGATATCACTGTGTTTTAAATTAGCAATTGCTTGCTTTTCAAGCTGACATTTTTGCAGGACAGTTTTATGACCTGACTGTAAAGAAAACCCATGTAAATAATTCATATTTTGAGGTAGGTGTTAATGATTGTCAGCATAGCCTCACAAATGGCAAATAGCTTAATATTGCCAGGAGATAAATTGCAATATGTAATCCTCTAAATGAGGGGTGAGCAATTAATTTTCCCAAGGGACTACATGAAAAATTTGGACTGTACTGGAAGGGCCAAAGCAATGTGGCTGTGAAGATGCATAGGCACTCATTCATACATATATAAAATTGGAAAAACAAATAATCACCTTCAAAATAAAAGGAATGCAGCTGTATTGTGTGCATGATATATATTTATTTACATGTGATTTCTAATTTCCAATTGACTTCAGATGGGCCAGAGTGGCAGCCAAAGGGCCAGATATAGTTGAGGGGCTATAAAATGTCCAGGTCTGTTCTAAATCATCATGAGGTTATTGAAAGAATTTGTATTTTTCTCTTAGACTGCATGAGTTTTGTGTACAAAATCCCATTTGGTGATGGTGATGAAGATTTTTGCATTCTACCTGTCTTGTTCTCATGTTTTTATTTTCTACTTGGTGTTTTATTGTTGTTGAACTTTTTTGCATTTGTATTCTATTGTTATACCTTGAACAACATTTGATGGAAAAATTGATATAAATCCTAGAGGAAAGTAGAGAACAAAGGTACATGAGCTCATTTCTGTACCAAATGAAAGGGATCTTTGGGCACATGCTAGCTCCTGTTTACAATGATATACATTGAAATTTTAATATGGAGTGTAATTGTGTTAGAATTCCAGTGCAAGCAACAACAAATCTTTAGGAGAACACAATTTCTTATGAGCAGGTATTAAAACCTGGATTTCATACCGTCATATTATTTTAAAATAACTTGGTTGGCTTGGTGGTTATGAAGATTTACTGATATTTACTGAATGAAAAATCCTGAGTAGCATCAACTGATTTGCTACAAGGAGTTAAATTCTGATCAGGAAAGATTCTTTTAAAAGTTTGCTCTCTACAGTGAACAAGAAGCTTTTGGGAATACAGAAACAGCTGTTCTAAATCTTCATTTGCATGTTATGCAAAAGTTTGCAGATGGCAGCCTTGCTGTGTTTGTAAAGAGTTTTGTTGGTGGTATGAATCTGTGGCTTTGTAAGCAGATCTAAACTGATAAATACTACATGAGGTTTTCTCTATCATTTTGTCAAGACTAGAATCTTTCCTAAGCCATTTCGTGGTTTTGAACATAGACATGATTGAAAGCTCAGTGGGAAAAAAATCAGTCTTCCCACCTTGATGTATTTCCCTTACATCAGACTATACTGTCCATTATCCCTAACCAGAAGCTAGCTGTGAATGATGGGGTTGGAGACCTGTAAACCCTTTTCAGAGAAAGTTGGCATAAATCATATAAGTTATCAGTCCTAACAGAAATTTTCAATATATTTTTTGGTACCATATGCTGAGTTGATGTCTTATAGTCAAATCTCTCTAGTCAAATCAAGTCATGTCTCTAGCCTTGAAGCTTTTAGGTGGTGGGTATTCTCTTCTGAGAAAGTTAAATTGTGACTCAATAATCACAACTCTAAGGATGCTATAAGATGGAAGCAATAGTCACTGCTGGACTTACTGTACAAAAAAACAGCAATGTAGACAGATATTCCTCATTTTTTTGGAGTTATGTTCTCATTGATAGAGGAATGTAGCAGGACTTTGATGTACATAAAAGCTTTCAGAGAAGCTCAAACTTGAGGCTGGTCATATAGTTTTTTTCATGTATTGTATGAATTCTATTTAAAAACTCAGTCCAGTTTAAGGAATGCTTCAGATAGCTCTTTGCCCTGATAACATTTCCCTAAGGACCTGATAAGCCTTCCCCAGTCTGATGTTCTCTAGATAGTTACAAAGACCAAACGTATAGAGAGCTTCATGTTGGAGAAGTCTGTAAAAGAAGTGGATAAAATATTGAGGTCTTGGATGATTATTAGTCCCTTCTCATGAGATGGGAAAGGACAGACAGGAAATTAACAAAGGGCAGATCTGAAGATCAAATTGATTTTTGTACTCTGCTTTGCCACTTCCATTTACATTGTTGCTTATCTGAGTTCAGGACTTAATTGTATTATTGAAACTTTTATTGTCTAAATAGTATCTAACATCATTTAAACTCCTGAAAGAAAATACTAAGTAATTAAGTTTTGTCTCTGACATTAAATAAAAAACATATATTGAAACATATCCCTACTAAGTAGGACCGTGTGATACAAGATAGTGAAAAGGAAGGCTCAAAACTCAGATAATCTTGATAGAATTATAAGATATGAAAAAAAAACCTCAAAGCATATCTATTGATAGTAGAAATATAAAAGTGTCATGATTTGGTATACACTAAGTCTACATGAGCAGTACCATTTTTTATGCTTCTATTTTTTATTTTTTATTTTTTTTTGCCTGTTGCTAGGTGCACGGATCCAACCCAAAGTCCATTTTCAAAGAAGAGCCCTGAGGCTACCAGAGAATACTAGCTATAGTGACCTCACAGCATTTCTTACTTCAGCTAGTTCACCCTGGGAAGTGGACAGTTTTCCTTATTTGCAAGGCTATGATGGCAATGGAACTGGTAGATGTTTAATCTTTATTCTTGGCATTTGTTTTAATTTATATGAGACAATTTGGCTTAAATATTCTTAGAATTCCATCTTTATATAGTCAAAGACATCTCTTTTTTCTGTTGGCAAAGGAGAGTATTAACATGATAAAAATCATGGAAAAATAGAATTAAGTGACCTCCATAAATAAATACTGTGGAAGGAATAGTTTAATATTTTGTATGCTAAAGATCAAGGTTCTTAATTTTTACTCATTGCTGATTGAATGCTAATCAGCTCTCTCTGTGAAGATCAAGACAGACATAGGATACCAGAAATCAGAGTTTATTACATTGCATTTTCTTGGCAGGTTTGTGCCTATTCCTTACTTCACAGTCTTTATTTTATCTTCAGTTTCCCCTCAGTCACATAACTTAACTTTGACTGCCCTGGAAACATAGGGCTGCTTTCTGTCAGGCTGGTCACATAGTCAAGCTAGAATCAGATAAATCACAATCTGTGATGGTCAGAAAGTGACCTCCTCTCTTCCTTTAAAATATTGGTAAGATGGTGATTACAATTTAAAAATGTAACCTTATTCACAAGGCTTTGAAGCAGCTTTTCAATGCCAATGTGCCTTGCAATCCCCACTCTAGAAACTCATCAGGTATTTGATCTTCCATTTTTTTTAAATCCTTTTAATTAAAAGCAAATACATGGGAAGTTAGTATATATAGCAAATTACCAGCCTATAGTATTTTAATTTTTAATATTTTTGGTACCTAGAAATGGCATGCCAGCAGTCTTGAAAAATAAAATTAGTAAATGCTGCAATGTGGTACTTTTCTTGGAAATAACTTTGCTGCCTATCCTCTCCAAAAAGGGGGAAAGGTGAAGTGGGTGGATAACATGAATATTTCATGACCGATCAAAATAAGAGCGGGAGTTATTTTGTAATGCTGGCCATAATATGTTTTCAATATTCCAGATGTACCCACTGGCCCAAAGTGGTTATATAGTCCTGAATGGTGAAGCCTAATGAAATGAAAACACTGAACTTTCAGAGGCTCTATGCAGCCACTTTGCTGCTTATTTTATTGAAAACACAGGATAAAGGTTCTACTAACAATTGGCATTTTTGTCAAATAATTCTAGCACTACGATGTGACTTCTTTCTGGAGGCTACAGAATGGGTGCTGTAGAGCCAGACATGGTTCATCTCTACCTCACACGGTTACATTTTTACATCAACTATGATATAAAATTGTGTTTTTGCTTTGTTTTGTGTGTTTTATTTAAATATGGGTCTTTTCCATGGTAGTTTTACTGGTCCCCATATCTCTGCTACATAATGAATCAACTAACTGTCTGAATATACATACAGAGATTGGAACTGTATAATGCAATTTGAAGTTGCAAAACACTGCTCTAGATGTGTCATCTTCTGATAATGGGGAAATAATTGTTACAAATATTTAAGTAATATTTGTATTTGATGACTTTAATATTGTATGTTGTGCATTTTGTAACACTATTCATTTTTTTACAGGAAATAACACTAGGTATGATCTTACTCCTGTCACTGCAGTTAGTGTTCATTTACTCAGAAGTGATGGGACTCCAGTTCCAGTGAATGGGCCCATTTATGTAACAGTGCCTCTCCCTGCAACCAACAACTTGAAACATCATACCCATGTGCCAGCTTGGAGGTTTGACCAAAAATTTGGTAAGCAAACTTATTTCTGATTCCCACCATGTAAACCAGTTTATTCATGGTCTCTAACAGAAATGTATTTCTACTAGGTCAGGCATGAACTCTTATATTAGAACAATTATGTTTGAGTATGGGAATTTTCCTGTCCAATTTTATTCTACTGTTTGGTATAAGGTTTATAAGGCTTAAAGGGATGGCTGGTGTGAAACACAAGTAGATACCAAATTGACATTTTCCTAATATATTTAAATGCCATTATAATTTTGGTTGCCAAGGGATTTAAGTTATAGGTTTAATTTCAGGCATAGCTTCCATTAATCAAGTATTTATTTATTTTGTTTTTTATTTATGAGTCAAGACTGTTATAGATTTTATTTTTACTTTTGTGAGAGGAGAATGAGAAAAAAGAGCCACACATATCTTCTTGCAGGAAGATGCCTATTATTTTTACCCTTCCTATATCCTGTTTCATAACTCTACCATGATATTAGTAAATGTTTGTTTGAAACCCACATGCACATATACACAAACACACATATTGAGTTAAATATTAAGTCAAAGTACTCAGCTATATGTGTATTAATAATAGCTTAGTGCAATGGTAAATGGTATTCATTTGGCAGGCTGAATGAAGAACTTCCTCTATAGTATTTCAACATCTGTTTCCTATGGAATAAATATGTTAAACATTCCACAATAGGTTTATCCTTATTTTTTTATTTAAAACCAAAAATTCAAATGGCATTTGACACATTTTATTTAATCTTTGTTACTTTTAGGTCATCAAGTACAAAAAAAAATCAATTTGGGATAATGATGTTATTATCCATTCTTGGCAATTCTACAGTCCAAGTCTGTCCATATATTCCAGTGTTGCACTAATTCTTTGAGTTGTTCTATACTCTGGCTAATGTCAGTTTTGATGGTGTCCAGGATCCATATTCTTTGGCAGTCTGATTTTCTTTTACCACTAACTGTTTCCAACATAATTGCTTTCTTCGGTGAATTCTCCTGCATGACATGACCAAGATAAGTGAGACATAGTTTTGCGTCTCACTTCTTGTGGTCATGTCATGCAGGGCAATTCATTGGAGAAAGCACTTTCACCCTCCACTGACATAACTGGTATCATGCACTCCAGAACTTGATTGGTTTTTTTAGTTTATTAATGATTATTGAAAATTTCAAAAAAAAAAAAGAATATTTAAAAAAAAGAGAAACATGTTCTCACATTTTTGCAACGTTTTCATAGCAGTGTACATTTCTATTAGTGTCAATTTGCTACAAGTAAATCTATAACTTGTTTCCTAAATCCTTACTTATATATGTTATTATTACAATTATAATACAATATTTAATTGTATTACTTTACATATATACATTGCTATATATACATTTATCCTTATTTTCATTTTCCCTTGTTGTTTGTTTAATCAATTTCACTAGACATCTTTACTTCCTTTTTATACAGCCATTTGTACCATATATTCCAAATTGTAAAAAATTCCCACTCTTCCTTGTTTTTTAGTAACATGGTTAGTCTAACCATTTCTGCGCATTAGTGGATTTTATTAGTTATTGCCAGGTCCGTGGGTATCATTGTTGATTACCAGTTTTGGGCAAAGATTATCCTTGCCACTGTAATGATAGGTGATATCAGATGCTGGTGTTTTTTGCTCCATGTCGGTTCTGTTATTCCGAGTGAAAAGGTCTCTGGGTTAAATTTAATCTTTAGTTTTGTCATCTCTTCTAACCATGCCTGTATCTTAGATCAGTACTTTCGGGCTTCAGGACATGTCCACCATATGTGAAAATACGTTCCCTGGCTAAAAATACACTTCCAACATTTGGGTGACATATTAGGGAACATCCTAGCAAGTCTTGCTGGTGGGAGGTACCAGCAATAGAACATTTTATAAATATTTTCTTTATATGAGACTGATAACATTAATTTATAGTTAGTTTGCCAAATTCGTTCCCATTGTTCTAATTCAATATTGTGGCCACAATTTTTAGTCCATGTTATCATGCTCTCCTTAACCGTTTCCTCTTCCATTTTAAATTCCAATAAGCAATTGTACATATTGGTAATCATCTTTTTTTCACTTCCTTGTAAAATTTTGTCTAATTCCCGATCTGTATTATAAAATCCAAATTGTTCCTTGTCTTTTTTGTGTTTTGTTTGAATTTGAATGTACGGCCACCACCCAATTTCAATTCCCTGTGTTTTTAATTGTATCTGTTTTCAAGTCGCCTTCATCTGTTATTAATTCTTTATATTTTATTGTTTTGTTCAAATCCATAACATTGGGTTATACTAGTGCCTCCATTGGAGATAGACAGGTATTTTCACATAATGGTTTATTTTAATTCGTTCTCATATATATAACAAAGCATCCCTTATCCAGTGTCTTTGAAAGTAGCTATGGGTTTTGTTTTTTCCATCCCAGAGAAACGTGTGCCAGCCAATCTGTAAATCGAAGCCTTTTAATGTCAATATTCTTTTGTCCTCCAGGTTAATCCAATCTTTGATCCAAGTACTCGCTGCGGCTTGATAGTATAACTCAAAGTCTGGGAGTGCCAATCCTCCCTTACTTCTACTGTCTTGCATTAATTTATATTTTACTCTGGCTTTTTTCTTTTGCCAAATAAATTTACTAATTCTTTTGTTCAGGTCTTCGAAGAATTTTTTCCCTGACTGGCACGGTTTGAAAGAGATACAACAATTTTGGTAGTATATTTGTTTTAATAGTGGCTATCCTTCCCATCCAAGAAAGTTGTAAATTTACCCATCTATCTAGATCTTTTTGTATCTGGTCTATCAACTTATCATGGTTATCAGCCTTTATTGTGGAGCATTTCGCTGTAAGCTAAATTCCTAAATATTTTACATTTTTCATTGTCTGAATCCTTAATTCTTTTGTCAGTTCCTCATTTTAGTACAATTTTTTGTTATTACCTTAGTCTTTTCTCTATTGATTTTGAGTCCTACTACTTTATCGAATGCCTCTATCTCTTGCATTAAATTTTTGCTTGACTCTTTTGGGTCTTCCATTATGAAGACCATGTCATCAGTGAACGCTTGCAGATTGTATGTTTCCTGTTTAATAGTCAACCCTTGGATATTTCGGTTTTTCCTTATCTGGGTTAACAACACTTCCGTTGATAAGATATATAGTAATGGGGCAAATGGACATACCTTCTCACTCCTTTGCTTATTTTTATATTGTTTGTGGTTTCTCCATTAATTACTAATTTTGCATTTTGTATAGAATATATTGTTTTGATTAGTCCTATAAATTTTTCACCAAATTTCATCCTAGATAATTGCTCAATCAAAAATTGCCAATTTAAATTGTAGAATGTCTTTTGGGCATCCAAAAGTATTAACACCATGTGGTTGTTAGATTTGGTTTCATAATACTCTAGGACAGGGGTCCTCAACCACCGGCCCGCGGACCGGTACCGGTCCGTGGAGCACTCTGTACCGGGCCGCAAAGAAAAAATAAATAAAAAAAATGGCGGCTTTCTTCGCCTTCGGTGAATGCTGCTGGGTTCGGGGATCAAGGACACAAATGAGAGAAGGGGAGGGAGGAAGCAACCGAAGCCTGTCCTGCTCTCTGGCTCAGCGGCTTCGGTTTCCTCCCGCCTCGTTCCTCTCTCAGTCGCTCTCTCGCTGCTCCACCAGCCCAGGAAGAAACTGCTTCAAAGAAGCCGGGGGGTGGTGGCTTTTCCTGTCGCCGCAGCGCCTCCGAAGCGCCCGGTCACCCCCACCCCACCCGCCCGCCCGCGCTTCAATTCAGTGCTCCGTTCTGCCTGCCTGCCTGTCTGGTTGATTCGGAGCAGCTTCAGCTGAGAATAATAAGTATTCGCCTCTTTTTATCAGCCGAAGCTGCTCTGAAACGAAGGCAGGCAGGCAGGCAGGCAGGCAGAACGGAGCACTGTGGATTGAACCGCGCGCAGGCGGGTGGGATGGGGGTAAACGGGCGCTTCGGAGGCGCTGCGGCGACAGGAAAAGCCACCCCCCCGGGCTTCTTTGAAGCAGTTTCTTCCTGGGCTGGTAGAGCAGCGAGAGAGCGACTGAGAGAGGAACGAGGCAGACACCTGAGGGAGGGAGGGAGACACCTGAGGGATGGGGCTGAGGGAGGCAGGGCCGAGGCGCTCCCTGAACTTGTTGGTTTGCTGGCAGACGTTTTATTACCCGACTAGGTAACAACATCAGATGTTACCTAGTCAGGTAATGAAACGTCTGCAAGCAAACCACCAAACTCCAACTCTCCCCCCCCCCCCCCCCCCGGTCCTTGAAAAAGTGTTTGTGCTTGAAATTGGTCCCTGGCACAAAAAAGGTTGGGGACCACTGCTCTAGGACATCCATTATTCTTATATATTTTTTTTAATATATCTATTTGGGAGAAAACCATTCTGGTCTGGATGAATAATATCATTCAATATTTTTTAATCTATCTGCAATTATTACCGCTAAAATTTTATAATCTACATTCAGGAGTGAGATAGGTCTGTGATTTCTAATTTGGTGAGGATCTGTTTGTTCTTTGGGAATGAGGGATATCAGAGCTTCTGTCCATGTTTGAGGTATTTTGGCACAACTCAGGGCCTCATCATATATTTCCACCAGCAGGTTGCCTAGTATATCTTGGAATTCTTTATAGAATTCCGCAGGTATTTCGTCTGGTCCTGGGGTTTTATTGGTTTTCTGTCTTCCAATTGCCTCTTTTATCTCTTTTAAGGTTATTTTATCATTTAGTATCTCTTGAGCAGTTTCTGATATGATAGGTAATTCTTTGTGCTGAAAATATTGTGTGATGTTCTTCTCTAAAATTTCTTCTTTTTTGTATTAATTAGCAAAAAAAAAATTGAACTATTTCATTTGCTCTGATTGTGAACACAATATTCTATTCTCATCCTGTAGGGCTATTATAGTTCTTTTCCCCTGCTCTTTTTTTAGTTTGTGAGAGAGCCATCTCCCAGGCTTGTTTGCGCAGAACTTGATT